CAAAAGGCTGAGCTAGGCTGCTTTTGCATTCAGTACTACATATTTGAAGTGCCACTAATTGCAAGATGCAGTGCATCTGCAGTCTTCTATCTCCTTAGAAGCCAAGTTAACAATACAGCCATTCTTTTACATCTATTTAGTCACCAAGGCTGTAACTTGAGCTGGTGCTCTACTGTTCCCAGATTCCTTGCTCTGTAGGAGAACAATGATGATCACCCTGTGCCTCAAAGTTCACCAGGTAAAGCGATATTATAAATTCCTTGTACTATTCAAAGGTATCACATTTAGCTTTGCAACTTGGCTGTGTTAGGCATTAGATTTTTTTAAGCTCAAGACCAGATGCCAAAAATCCTGAAAAAACCCAGGCAAAGACCTGAAACTCATCCTGTAAAGAAACATGAATGACACTATTGTGTTGCTTAAAAGCAAACGGAACTATTTATTACTAAAATTCAGGACCTGGCCATGTTTGCTATGTGAAAATTCATATTCAAATATTTTAAGAAAAATTACTCAGAGGGTATAACACTTGAGAGTTTTAAATCCTATTTTCTTTATTAAAAGAACTAATCTTTTTAATGCATAGTATTTAAAACCATTACACAACCCTGAAGAATCCATTTGCTCCACACTACCATTGTAGAAGAAGCAGGAAACATTCCATTTTTACATCCAGAAGCAAGTGTCTTTCAAGACAAAAGGGCTTTAGTCAAGTAATCTCTACAAGTTACCTTTGGGATCATCCATCAACTAGTCTTTGATCACCGAAGAACTCTCAAGAAGTTTGTTTTAAAGTCCAGAGCAGTAAGTATTCTCAAGCTCACAAACTAGAGAAAACTAGGCTTATTGCTATGTGAAACAGAAAGTGAGCTCTAATCTCCCTTTCTACTAATAATTTGAATGATTTTTTCCATTGCTTCATTTTCTTTGTTTTTTTCTACCAGAAATCCCCAAACACATTACATAGACATTGACTGTTGCAGCTCCTCTAAGAAAATCCTCCATTTCCCATACGCAGGTCACTGCACTGTGGTGAGCATTCCCAAGTTGTGCAGGGAGCACAGCTTTGTAGAAAGTATTTGTGCTCTACAGAAGTAGAGACTTGAGATTTCTCTAAACAATCATAGCAAGAATGTTTTATAACAGCTTAATCAAATCAACTGTCAAAGTAATGATTTTGAGCCAGCTAAATACTACAAAAGCAACTTAAATAGTTTGCAACTGTTGAGCTGAAAGTATTGTAGAAGCAGAGTTCATTCCTCTTCTCAAAGAGAAGGACATGGGGGTGAAAGATAAAAACCTCAGCAAGCACAGGACATCTGGCACTATTTCAGCAGAGGAGGCTGTCAAAAGCACATAAATTCTTTGGGAATATAAAATAGATTTCCTTTTCTGAAGCAAGACCACATGGAACTCTGAATATTTTATTATTCTATCCTATGAACTTAACTAAGACTGAAAACATTTCCTCAGTGTTTTTGTCTCCATCTCATCTTCAAACTGGTTTCAACAGAATTATGCAAGTCACACAATAAAGTCTTAAATTAAGGGCACACAAACATGTTTTGGAGTAGTCTTTAGGTATTTGTTCCAGGTAAATATACTTCTTCCTCTTTCAAAATTATGCAGACTTTAAGTTTAGGAGGTTTCCTGAAGAACATGCAATTCTCAAATATATTATTATAGTTCCCCCCCCCCCCTTTTTTTTTCCTATTAGTCATTATCAACATTTTTTCAAGGTAAGAAAAAAAATCTTGCTATTATGACGATATATGTACTAGAAGTTACACTACTTTATTTCCAAGTTGTATTGTCTTTCACATCACAATTACTTCCTATGCAATACCCTTCCTTAAAGGACTCAGCATCCCCTAAATGAAGTCACCAGCTGACCAAATAAATCTTGTGCAAACTCAAGGTAAAGGTCAATGGAAGGATTGGCTTTCCTTTGTCATTTATCCTGTCTACTCAAAAATTAACTCATAGCAATGAGACACTAAGAAACATATTAATCAGATCAGTATTCCCTAGTCTAAGGAGGGCAAGTTTTAATACTTGCTAATACTTTAAGATGCTGATACTTCATATCAATGCATTTCTTAGTAAAGTGTTTTTGACCTTCAGCAAATTATCCAAAACTCAAGCACATGTTCCACACAAAATTTACATTCTGCTACTCTTTAGGACTACCAGTCATGATACTGTTTTCTTACAGAACTGTATTTTAAAGGCAATATCGGCACCTACAGAAGATGCACTCAACGTTGAACACCTCTGCGAATACAACTCAGCTGAACTGTCAAAATACCACACCAAAAATGTGGAAAGGTAACATCCATTCAGCATTCTACATGATAAATTAGTACCTGCCCTGCTTTTAAACAGCTTCCACAGCCTATTTTCTTTAAAAAATAAAAATCCCACATTAGTACCAACATGTAGGAAAGTACAGTTAATGTAAGAATTTTACACAGTAGAAAAGTTTTCACAAGACAATAAATAACTTCTTATAGTGTCAACTAAGATGTAATAAATAGCACAAGACTCTTCAAAATGAGATGAACTTGTAGAATCGAAATGTGGCTGTCACCTGTCAGCAAGGTCTGATCTGCCTCTTTCAGACTTGAAAGAATTTTGTTAGGACCAAGACTCCAAAGTGTAACAAGCACATCGCTGCTATTTCTTTACAGCACTGATTATTTTCTGAACATCTCAGTCATAAGACAGATATAAAATCTCTCTGAACATTCACATCCTCCCACAAGTAAGAGATCCACAGAGCAAGGGGGGAAGTTTTAATCCACTGTGTAGTCACAACTACTATTCTTACAGGTGACCATGAAGATAATGGCAATACAGAAGACTGCTATATGAAACCTTAAAGAGAGTAAATTTACAAAAGCAATTAAAGGAGATTTCACAGTTACTTGACCAATTATAGGCATTTGTCTATTGTCAAGTTTCGAGAAATCCAAATTATCTAATTATCAACACTGGAACTACATAAGGATGTCAAGCAAAAGATTTCTACACCAGCACAAAAGCACTTACACTGCCAACTAGATGAGCACCAAATGTTAACATACACAGCTCAGTCAACAAATGAGCTATTGACTCTAGCTTGTGAAAGAAAGGAAAACCAGTGATTTCTGTAACTCACTTTCAGAAAGCCTGCCTCGTTCTACATGCAGCTGATGAGCTGCAAGGTTGTTCCAAAACAAGCAACTCAGTCACTTATCTGCCAAAAAGCTATCAGCACAAGCTGACTTCTTAGGCTGGAGGTGGTTTACAGAATACAAGATTGATGACATTTTAATTTGACATGAAGTACATCTTATCTAACTACAATCTCTCCACTTTAAATTAAGCCTAGTTTGTCTCAAAAGTGATCAAAAGTTGTAAAGCACAAAGTTCAGCAGTACACAAAATAACTTTGACTCCACCACTGTATGATATGAGTAATTGCAAACTCCAACATGCAATTTAATTACTAAATGCAGCAGACAACGAGCATTACCTATCACTAAGCTTCTGGAGTGAGGGAGAAACCACACACAGAACTTCTGCTCATTTACTCCAAACAGAGACTCATTTATATCAGCAACTACAGAAAAATCTACTTCAAGGTGCCATCAAGAAGGCAACCCACAAAAACTGTGTCCAGTCAAAAACTTTTAAGTATGACGCAGGAGCCGTTAAAGAGCTTTTAAAATGCCACTTGCAATTATGCATGCAACAAAAAGCCACACCCAACAAAGCAGATTCCAACCTTAAGGCTGCAGCAAGAGATTGATGTCACTACTTTTTATTTTAGAGAATGGAGCCTGTGCACCTCAGCCAGAATTACAGACTTCTGATCTGCACCACTTAAGGCCAAATATGCCTCACCTTCACTGCTCCTCTCCCAGAAGGGCTGTATAGGGAAATGCCAGTAAGAAAGCATAGATATGCATTTTCCCTTGACCATGATTCATTTCCAGGCACCCTTAAGGAGGACTCGTTTGTAAAAATTCAGACAAGAACAGTCATCCTGTAATGCTAGTAAGATTTTATATTATTTTCAACAGTAAAAGAAGCAGGTATATATAGCTACGCTTTTATACTCCAACAGTTTGTAACCCACTATTACTTTCTCAAAGATGCAATCTCTGAACAATTGGGACAACAGATATTCTGTTCCGGGAGGTGGGATTAGAGCAGGAAAAATGCAGCACCTAAGTGCACAAAGGGAATTCTTAAAAATCTACAGACGGTTCTTTAATCTGATTTAATTTATTTAAGAGTTACACTTTTCTCACACGCCTTTACAGTGAACACAATGCCAAGCTAAAGCCTGTAGGTCCATACTGAAAAATGTAATTTAGAGCAATCTACTGTAAGCTTTTGTCTTACTGTCACTGTAGCTGGGGAACGTTTCAGCGATGCATAAATACGACAATGCTACCGTGGCTAGTGGAATACATAAAGCATAAATATGTAAAGATACATGTCCTGATCCTGTGTTACAAGCAACAGGAAGAAAACGGTGCCCCATACTCCCAGCTAAGCGTTTGGGATGTCCCGCAGCGGACAGCCAAACCCGAGATAGCCAGAAGAGCGCTATAAAAATTAAACTGGCTACAGAAATTAAACCACCAGAGACCTGAGAAACTCAGTAACGCAAGAGAGAGTAGCCGTATTCGCTTACACAAGAGCCCGTACTCCAAGATCCCTGATGCTCGTTAAGCATTCAATGCCAGGTTCAGCTTTCCCCACCCTGGAACTCGGGGGAAGGACTGCGAGGGAAGGGATTGTGCCCAGCACTGAACCCCCACACCCCGCGAAGAGGCTCAAAACGCCCATTAAACATAAAGAGTTTAAATATGAAGTGAACCCGTGCGGGGAGGTGAGGGGGGGAGTTGGGCTCCCGGCTCCTGAGCGAGGCCCGCAGCGCTCTCAGGGCCAGGCTCCGACCTAGAACCCCGGAGCCGCCGTCCCTCGCGAGGCGCGTCCAGACTCACCCAGAAGATGAGGTTGAGGAAGACGAGGACGGTCTTGGAGGAGGTGATGCCGCACTGCCCCATGGCGCCGCAGAGCCCCGGCCCGGCCCGGCCCCCGTCCCCTCAGCGCCGCCGCACGTGACCGCCCGGCCGCGCGGGCAGCCTAAGATGGCGGCCGCTCGTGTCACGTGGCGCGAGGGGGCGGAGGCACCTAAGATGGCGAACCGCTCCCCCTCAGTGCGATCCCGCCTGCAGGAGGCACCGCCCCTGAGCGACCCCGATGGTGCCTTATCGTGGGGTGGAGGCCGGTGCTGCCCTCCAGCCTCAGAACCCAGGTAGCAGAGTATAACAAACACGGGCTCTGCTTCTCGTTCACTACCTGAAGCGATAATTTTCAGACTACCTTACAGTCTTAAAGCAAGTACCAAAGAACTCTGAACATTCACATCCTTCCCCAAAAAGCTGCGCCATAAAGCTGGTGACATCTTCAGGAGACCTTCGGTTCCTGAGGGAATTAAAAACGCGCTTGCTCGCCGCCTGAGGGGTGGTTTGAGGGGGGGGGGAGGGGGGGGTATGTGCCCTCAGGGCGCCGGGGGGCCGTGAGGGCAGGAGGGCTGAGAGACACGCAGGGAGAGCAGGTGAAGGAGATGAGGAGAACATCCAGCATTTTACAACCTGGACTTTTGTCTAGTGTGAAGAAGGAATGCTCCCAATGAAGTAAAAGACTGTGGCTCATGTTGCAGAACTTCACAAACTGTGAGGAAAATGCAGGCGGTGATAATTCTTGGATGTTTTGGCACTTCCCGGTGAAGAGCAAAGGAAAAGTAAGTTAAGAAATTAAGGACATACATAGTTTCTAGAATTCTAGCAATCCAGGATTTGCTGACAATTTATTCATGAAGTTTATTTTAGCACGACTGGGATCCAGCCCTTCATTTTAAGGGCCTTTTTTCTGTCTCACTAATCAAACCAAACGCTTTGTTGCCTCTTCATACAGCAAGATATCTTCTCAATATTCCTCTTCCTCTCTTTCTCCTCTCTAATCCCATGCTTTTCCTAGAATTGCCTCTCATTCCTGGGCTCCTCTCCCTTTTTTGGTGAGCTTGTTCTTGGTCCTTTCCCAGCAGATTTACTTCTCAGGTGGAAACAAAGCTACCCATGTCATTGAAGGCCTTAACATTTTAGCAATTGGTCTTGTAAAGGCAGACAAGTAACACTCAGTTATATTCCACTGTTCTGTTTCCAGGGTAGCAAAGCTAGTTCTTTTTCTTCCTACAGTTTGGGAAGTTATATCCAGACACAGTTCTGGATACCATGGAGATACTAAGTCTTTTTTCAGCTTTCAAGTCCTTATATGCTCATGGATGGAATTTACCAACCTTGCAAGCATTATCAGACCATTTTCTGACTCTAAAATAATTAATTTATATACCCAGAATATATGTTTAAAGTTGATTGCACAATTAAGGAGGTTTTGCACTGAATTTATGGCTTTTAGGGTTTGACTGTGTCTTGTAATTTCTGCTTTTTAATGTGCTATTTATATGTGCTTTATATTACAATTCTGTGACATATAGTATTTTTAAAAGCCTATATAGACGATACTATCAAAAAAGCCATTAAAAGTTGATAGAAATAAAGCCTTTTTAAGAGGAATTTGATAGGGAAAGGATCAATGATACTTAAAAACTCTCAGAAGTTATACAGTTAGCTGTTATACAATTTCAACGTTGAAATTAAGAGTCTTACCTGATTGTCTGTATTAATTTCCTCTGCCTTCACAGGTAGAGGAAGATAGATAGATTAGATAAATAGATGTATCTCACATAAATTTTTATAGATTCATAGGAACTGGTGTTCAGCAGAGACTCTTGGGGTTCTTTTTTGCATTTAACATTGATAACTGAAAAGGAGAGGCCAGGACTTAATGCTTGGAGGGGAACCAAGAGCCTGTGGTGGGGTTGCAGGTTTCTGCATTCAGGGAACATGATGGACTTGTGGGGAGAGAGGAGGAATGGGGAGACTGCAGTGCCTTGAATTGGCACAGGGTTTGTGTGGGCTGGACTCACACTGCCTGAAAGATAAATGGCAAGTGTTCCTCTAACAGTGGCTTCTGAAAAACACATAAATACAGCAGTGCCTGGCTGTAAAAAAATTCTTCTTTTCACTTCTGCCTTGCTGCTGTCATGCATAGAGAGCTGGCTGCTGGTGGGTGCCAGGGTGGGGTCTTTGCAGGCTCTTGTGCAGGGAAACGCTCTTGGTTCTTTGAAGAACACATGCAAAACATTTATGTATCCTCAGTCTGTGACTTCAAATCCACAGACTCTATCTGGGATAAGGTGTGGGCCTGTGCTGGCATCTCATGCCCAGTGTGGCATACCAGCCAAGTGACATTTAGGGGGAAAATGGGATGAATAGTAAGATGCCGTCAGAAATTTCCCCACCTCCTTACATGGGAATGTAGGCAGGGAATTGTTGCTGTCTGCTTTTGCAGAGAGGAGGAAGGATGGATGGCTTGCTGAAGTGAGGTGGGGCAAGGGAATTCCCAGGAGAGCAGGCAGCAAGGCTTGCTGGAAAGCAGGTTGTAACAAGCACTGTAAACACTGGCTGCAATTTCAGTATCTGGGTTGATTGAGTTGGATTGAAATGTCTCCAGCTTTGTTGCTTAGATCTCAACCTTCCTTGATGTGGACAGGTAACTTGACTGCCAAGATGTGCTTTTGTTTTTAATACAGTTTAAACCTCTCTGAAATTCCTCAGAGAATGTTTATTCAGCATTTCACCGCTTGTGACTGTTATCATAGCAATATTTTCAGAAAGATGTACCAGAAATGAATACAACGATATCCTGGACTTCCATGGCCTCTGAGAGAGGGAGAGGATCAAAGGCTGGGATGGGTGCAGGGTGAGAGTGGCCCGAAGGTCTCAAGTGCAGAATGTGTGCTAAGAAGACGCACATTTGCGACCTCCCCTAGGCTCAGTCTCTGGCTCTCAGTGCATTCTGGCACACACTGGGCAGGTTGGCTGGGTGCCTAGTTAAGGTAAGTGGCTGCAGAAGCTGTTTTGCAGACTCAGAAAAGCAGAGACAAATGTGCAAGCAAATACAATAATGATGTAGTTTGACCTTCACTTTAATTATGCTCCATTCAACTCTCAGTTTTTTTAAGCACTGGGAGTTAAATTCTGTGGACATAGGGCACTTTGCATTGGTGCAATTGAGTCTGGACTGTCATAAATCACTCATCTAGCAAAGCCAGTAGATAATTCCACAGCAGAGGTAATTTTCATTTGCAGGCATGCATTATAAAAGTAAAAGTGTATTCTTGCTTTTGGGACAAACAGTGTAGCAAATGTTATAAAAATGAGTTCACTCCATTTGAATGAATTAGGTAGTAAAGAATAATCTCATGCTTTTTCACCAGCTCCTGAGGAGGTAATCATAAGCTTCTTTGAAGTGTGTAATAGCCTGGAAAGGTCCATGAACACTGAAGGATGCATAGTAAAAATGACTGATTACCTGACAAACATTTTCCCAGTCAGTCTTTTCAACATTTACAAGTACAGTTAGAAAATGAGAGCACCCATATCAGAGTATTGTAAACCAGTGAATAGAGAGGGAAAATGGTAGTGTCAGTGTAAAGTACAGAGGGCAGCAGTAGTGAAATCCAGTCTTTTATGTGTTCTGGAGCAGGAGAGATCTCTTACCACTTTGATCCCACCTTCCTGATTTTGTGGTTCCCTGGAATGCCAGTCATGACTTGCAATCCATTAATTTCTCTTCACTGGGAGTAAATGATCTCATAGGAGTCACTCAGTGCATTTCTTCACTTTTTGATGGGCTTGAGCACTGTGAACTTCTTGGTAATGATCAAATGTTGGTAGCAAGGTCCATTTTAATGCCACTGAAGGGAGGTAAAAGGAATGAGGAGCACTCTTCATGACTGAAGAAGGGGAAAAAAATAGGTTGAGATTAGTTCATTATCTTTTCTGTATATCTTTTTCATCTGACTTTACCTACATGAAATACAGTTTTTAATAATAAAGACCTATATACACTGCATTTAAATACAGTTTTCATGAACTGATCTAATAATATATCCTTGTTCAAGTCATAAAGGATGTTTGTATGTTCTGATCTATTCTATATTTATTTCTATATTTATATTTGAGAGCAGTCATTGTGTCATGCTAAGGGTTGGCATGCTGGTGGGACACCTTTCAGATTTGAGAAGCACTGCAGAAAAACAGTTTGGAGCTAAAAGTCTGATGTTAGACAAACTGAAACAATTCTGCAAAGGACTAATGTAATAGTTAAAAAAACAAGATACAAGAAGTTCTGTTTAGAAGCATGTCACTGGCATTAACAGTTTCCCCAGAGGTACATTAGCACTGTTTTTGTTAAGAAATAGGTGTAGATTGGCTTCCAAGTCCACTCTAATGCTGGAGAGGAGCTGAATCCATGTAGTTCATCCATTTTATGCTGTTAAGAAAAAATGAGAAATCATGGCACTGTCCATTCTGTTCTTTGGGGTCTTTTACACCAAGCTACAAATAGTACCTTTTCCCTCCTCACTTGCCCCATCATTACATTTTCTGCATGAGTTCTCTGCCAGCTCCAGTCAGATCAGTTTTCAGGATCTGTATCCTGGAGAATGGCCTCTGTATTCCATGGCTTTTCCTGTGGCAGCAGAGCTGCTTCTACATCCCTTCTGTCTGCACTGCCCTACATCCTCCCCACTGCACCAAGGCACTATTGGAGGAGAGGGTGACGCTCTTTTATTTACAAACAGCTGAAGAGGGGACTGGGGTGGGGACTTCTTAAATCACACTGCTGTAAAGGAAAGGTTTGTGAAATCTCAGAGCATCCTGGGATGAGATTTCCCTTTCTGCAGCAGTGTCAGCTTCAGCAGCCTTCTGAAGGCTGGCTTCTCCATTCTCCCTAACCTTCTTCGCATGACAGTAGCAAAGGTACCACTAGAAGTATTTGTGTAACCATGGAGACCAAGTGGAGGCAGCAGATTAGGAGAAAAAAATAACTCAGGCAAAAGAAGGTTGTATTTTTAACCTGGGTTTTTATCCAGTCTGTTCACTGGATGGTCCTCAGGAGAATGTGCACCAGCCATGCATAGGCAGAAATTAACAGTGGGCAGGTGTGGACTTTCATTTGCTTTCAGCATAAATG